AAACATCGTTGTCCGCCGCGCGATAAGCTTTTGATTTATAAAACGGTCATTCGTGAGACGTCATCCCTTCGAGAAAAACCAACGCAGACTTTTCGTTCAAAGATAAAAGCGAAGCGAAAAATCAAAAGGCAATGCCTGACCACGCGACATCTAAGGCTGGCCTGGAGCGACCACCGGCACTGAGGCAAAGTCGCGTGGCAGCTGTCGGATGGCAGCCTTGTCGTATAAATCTTTTTCTTTCTTCTTCTCGCGCCGAGGGATGAATTTTCGATTCGACGATCTTGCTACCGTGGCGGCGCCATACAGTCGTCGCCGACTTTTTTGCCCGTTTGACACTTGATGCACGCTATACTCTCTAAAGTGCCTCGGCAAATCGATCGTTCGCTCACTTTTTCTTATCATTGACAATTTCTGAGTAAGTCTGCACTAACAGCAGGCTATTTTTAGTTGGACATAACTTTGAATTGTTCGATTACTGGAAATTTGGTGGTTTTTTTTCAGAACATTTAATATAATGTTATTAAACAAATGAAATTTGCAATAACATTTTTTGAGTTAATTATTGCAATTATGATAAACTCGAATGAATATTTGATGACGTCTACATGAGTAATTCAACTTTTAGTAGAGTTATCAATCGTACAATCTGGTTAAAATTCATCTAACGCTAAACCATATATTATTTGGTATAATTTTAATAGAATGAATCATATAGTTTCGTTACAGGAGTCTGTAACTTTGTAATATTATTATATATTTGAGATATGAAAAAATAAAAATTAATTCATAATATAAAATAAATTATAAAACACATATCATGTTAGGTATAATCGATAGCTTAGAAAAAGTGGCGTATACATGTAGCCGAATGTACACGCGATGAAGTCAAATCTTAGCAAGTTGCTTTTTGCAGGAATCACCCCTTTGACTTGAGTATATAGTATACGAGTATCGATTACTCAGTGGCGACTGTATCGTCGTCGTCGTTGTCGGGGCGAGCGAGCGAGGAGAAGCCCCTTCGAGGCTTTGGTAATATACACGCGACGTTTCTCTCTCTTTCCTGCCCTCCAAAGTAAAGCGACTTGCCGCTGGTCGGCGGTTTACCTTTCTCGATGGTTATTGCGATGATGATGACGACGACGATAAGGAAAAGTGAAAGGGGATACTCTCCTCGCAACCCCTTCTACATATAGTTGGATTAAGCGACACCGCTTAAATGCTTTTGCACTTTATTGGTTTTTCCACGGAGCTTATTAACTATATACAGCACTTCTCGGAACTTCACTCGATTCTCGTTATATACCGATTTTTTATGATGGATTTTGACAAAAGACGATACAAAGGCGAAGAGCTCTTAACACGAAACAAAAGGAGTCGATACTAACGTTAGGGTATCCTAGTCGTGGAACGATTGAGTTGGCAACTGGATTAAAAATTAGTTGCCGTTTATCATCGTAAGAGAGCGCCGAAATTGAAATATTTCGAGGATTTTTGGGCGCAAATATTTCAACGGCTCTTTATGTTAATGACCAACGATCAATCGTCTTCTTCCTTTCTTTCTCGCGACTTCTTCGTTTGACCGCAATTAAGATTCTATATGGGCTTTTCGAAAAGAGGAACCGATGTTTTCGCAACAAAAGCGCAGGATCAAACAAACCTTCGGCGAAAATTTACTACCTTTGTTGCGCTGGCGAGAGGAAAAAGTCAGCTGCGACCTTTTACATTCATATGGAGAAAAATACTTTCCCTGTTGGATGGCACAGAAACGACAAATCACGGCTGAATTTGACAATTGGAGGCACAGGCGTAAATCTCAACACACACAAACACACGACAAATTGACAAGACGAGCTGCGGGTAACGCGTATTTATGTATCTACGGGGTAGGTATAGCACCGGTTTTGTCAGATGAATGCCCGCTGGCGTTAATTTGTGGTGGCGGGACCGTTGTTGGAAATTTTCATAGTTGACTTAGAGAGAGAAGGTGAGAGGCCATTATTTTCTATAGGGAGCAGTGGCTTTACTGGATCTACGTAAACAGCAGCGTTTTTGAAGTAGATGACACTTTGGTTTTTCGTTCAAAATGAATAACAGCTTTAGCAATTGCGCAATTGAAAAATCATCGTTCGTTCTGTGTGATTAATAAGCTTATTAACGATCTTAACTCCTGCACGACAAATTTATTCGTCCGTATTCGGACGCTTGCATCTGTCCAAATGAAATCATCCGATTCCGCATAACTGAGATTGCGCGAACTCTGCAGGAATTTTTTGACCCCGCCTCTCTCGGCAATCATAAAAATACCAAAAGTTCTCTGGCAAAAAAGCGAAGCTTCATCTCCCTCGCGCGACACTGTGCCCGTTTTCGCGCTAAACCCACTTATCCTGGTGGCGCCATGCCGCACTTGAAAACCCATGGCGTCAATTTGGGCCTCCGCTCAAGGGATAAAGAAGTCGGAACATGCGCGCACGACAGAGCGCGACCCCCTCCTTCTTCTTTTCTCCGTCACATAGTGGTCACCACGTGAGTTCTTGGGCAGCCGGCACGCGCCTTTTTCCCCTCGTCAGTTACTTAGTGCCGCTGCCCTAGGGAGAACGTCGTGTCGCGGAGACGCTGTAATTAGACGGCGGGGGCATTAATTGCCGGTGTGCTTAATAATGTCGACGCTAAGAAAGTGAAAGTCAGCGTTGCATCTGCGTATTTTATTGCAAACTGACAAAACTGTTGGTTAAAATTGGAAAAGTCATGGTCACCTGGACGCGTACAAATTGAAAAATCGTCGTTATAGATTAAGCGATGTGGACAAGCGAACTGACTTATACTCCAAGCGGCTTACTTATAATTGCTATACACCCATGCTATGCGACAGTGATAACGCAGAGAGTAACAAAGTGAATCACAATATTATTCCATTGGCTTGAGTCAGCCATGTGTGCGGCGTCTCTGTTCGTCTCACACAGTCTCATCACGGTTATTTTCGTCTAGTCTGGACAAATCTTCGCTCAAGTGAAATAATGTAACCCGTTGATAAGAGCGATGCCGTACGGCAGTTATGCTACTGCTGAGTTTGCCTCAAGGGTGAGTTTTTATATTCCTCATTTACACAACACGACCTTCAAGTGTTCTTTTCTTGGGCAATCGCTTATTTAAAAGATCCTTACCTCGAATTATAGAACGATTTTCAGGATACTGAACAGCATACTTGAATAAATCACTTGCATTTCATTGTTCGCGCCAGCTCATTATGCTATTAGCCTGCCAAGAGTAAGAGAGGACAGATAATAACCCGTTTCTTTATGTAATAAACAATTAACAATATCGCTCGCAGCTTCTTGGGAGCAAGCCGTTAATTTTTCAATTGAAAATTCAAATTTTCTTTCTTTATGCGATACACATGGCTTTTGATACACGAAGACCATTCATTTCTACGAAGAAAGAAATGCCAAAGAATTATAACATTTTGCTCATTTTACATCGTTTGCTCTTCTTGCAATAACGGTACCGAGACAATGAAAGAACAGAGCGTGTTTGTTAAAAAAAGAAAAGAAAACCCCGCACACTTTTATAACGTTGCGTTTCCAGTAAAAAACTTAGCATCACAAAAAGCGTACTGCCGGCGAAAATCCGAGAGGCAGAGTTCTCAGTTGAGACTAATAAACAAACAATAAGCTGAGGGCTCGCGCGCAAAAACGAGAGAAAGAGAGTAGCCCTGTAAATAAGCCGGCGACCGTGGCAGCACATTACTGTCGCGCGCGCTACCGGCAATTCCCTCTCTTGAGCTTTTATGCCTTTTTCTTGCCTTGGCGGCGCTCTCGCTTTGGACTTCTGAAATTGAATGATGCTCGACCAGAAAAAAGTACGAGCGCAGATTTTTTTTTTGCTTACTCTCTCTCAGAATGGTAGCAGTCGCAACTGCAACTGTGTGGCTTTGACTTTTTTGTATCGACAGAGTAACGTGTGAGCAGTAAGTATGTATACGTGTGTGTGTGTGTGTGTGTGTGTCTGATATTTGAATAATTTATTTAATTACGCGGCTTTTTGCCACGACGTGTTGACGATCAGCCGTACGGATACTGGATATTGATTGCGATCGTTACATATACGTATATACGTATAGAATCTCGTGACTAACGGTCGACCGTGATTATACTAATATTCTTATTTTTTTGTGCTAGCTTATCGATAAATGTGCAGATTCAATAAATAAACTTCAACTGATTAATTATTATGCGGAGTGGACAAGCCAGATGTTTATTTATTCGAGTATCTAAGTAGAGAGTGAAAATTTTCAAATTCCATATTGAAATTCATCTCGATAAAAAGAAAAAAAAGCCTTCGAAAGCGCGTAAATTTAGTAGCACGTATGAATTAATTCAAGAAAAATTGTCAACAAACTATACGGAGAGCGAAACACGATAGACTGCATACTCAATAAATTCTAGTCTCAGAAATATGTCTCATTATGAATATTTTACGCACGCGCATATCGAGAAAAAAATTAGCGTCGCTCATGTACGCAAGAGTATGAAATGATTTTTTTCCTTCCTTTTCGAACGGTCGGAACGGTCGGACAAACACGCGAAGCCCATAAAACATACGTGCGCACGGCAGCAATAAGGCGATAGCAATTAAAGCTCTCTAGTAACTGGAGAACTGAAAAAGCGCGAGCTCAAAGGTAGAGCAGGTTGCTGTTGCTGCTGCTGCTACTGCTACAATTTGATGCGATGATTTATTCGTGAAGTCGGACGACTGTACGTGTGCGTATCGGCGACGGCGCAGTATAGGTAACACAAGATTCGCGTTGCGCAACTGCACACCGCGACCCACTACTTACTTACTCTCCGTCGAGAAATTGTATATCCGCAAGAGAGTTTCTAGCTTTGCGTGTGCAAGCGCGAGTTGACGATTTCGCGCCTGTTGGAAATACTAGACGCGCATTCGATTTAACGCCGCCTCTTGTATGCGATTTTATAATGATTTGTCGGTTTTTTATGTTGCAGGTTACCACAGCTTGCCGTCTTAGCGAAGATTTTGTGCCTCCTAATGGTAAGTGTATTATCACAATATTTGCCCTTTTCGTCTGAAAAGGATTAAGGTTTTAAAGGTTTAACTCTCATCTCCCGAAAAGAGTATGATAAATCGCTGTTACGCGATCGTTATTCAACGATAATCGAGCCGCTGTTGCAGCTTTACGTCCCCGAAATATTTATTGTCCGATCTCGGCCAGGCTTAATTATTTATTATATCGACCACGCGCGCAGAAAAAAAATATGCACGACGGCCCCCTGTCGACTCATTTGAATGCGCACGCCCTCGATTTTTATAAGCATTATACCTTTCTAGAAATTGCCGCTCAAGTTTTTTCTATTTAGAGTTCAAGTCGCAATGTTTTCAGAGTTTTTGTCTTAATGATTTCGGTTACTTGAAAGGTTTTTCAATCATAAGATAAAAAATGATTATTACACTACTACGACATCTAGCGATTTGAATAAAAGCCACGTGTTAACTGCTGCAGGAACCGGTATTCCTACATTATAATGTAATTATTATTCAACTGTAAATAACCTTTGGAATTTCCCAGAAAACCAAAAAAAAAAAAAGAAAAAAAAAGAAGAAAAATCACGTTTCTTAAAATTCTCGTAGCGTTTTAAATTAAATTACGGGTTATTTAAAAATCAACAGAAGGCAAGTCACCAATGAAAAACAGAGGAACGACGTATGAAGAAAATTGCCATCGCGATCGATCTCGTGTCGCCGCGTTGTATTTTTTCAGTAGCTGGATGTACCAAAGTAAAAAGAAACGAAGAAAAAGAAAAGAGGTCTTGCATATCTTTGATTGATCGGGTATTCCAGTCTGCGCGGCAAGGACGCGAGTAGCGAAATTATATGGTTAAGGGCGTGCGCGACGAGATGATTTAATCAACGCGCGATTGTCGAACCTGTTCTCGATTAAACGGTACTGATAAGGCTCTCGCGTACTTTGTCGGTTCTCTCGAGTTTGCTCCTTTTTTCCCCCCGAGACAATCAACGAAACCGTGGTGTATTTTCACGCTCACTCGCCGTCCAAAGTCGAAGAAAGGTGCCGCGTGATATACGACGCCGATGGTCCACCGTGAATAAATTAATCGGTTCTTCTTCCCTTCCCTACTCTTCTTCCTTCCCGAGGATTCGGACGTCTCTACTATGTCGCGGCTTCGACGTAAATTGAGTCTTCTGCTCGCTGTTTTCGTAATCGATTTTTCGGTCGGCACATCAGCCGATCTTTCTGCAATCGATATGGGTTATAAAGAATTCTTCTTCTTTTTTTTTGGAGCTATTAATTGAAATGTAAACGCCTGAATTATGGTAAACGAGAAAGTTCAAAGAAATGAGCTTTATCTTATAAAACTTGAAAGTTTTTCTCAATTTATATATTTATACATTTTTTTTTTGTTGAAAAGCATTTCAATACGGAAGTTTGTGTGTAGCATTAATGAAAATTATGCTAATGAAAGTTTCGACGTATAAGGCTTTAATAAATTTGGCGTACCGGTAATTTCATCCGTTCCGATAAATTTCAGCAACCGGGTAAAATTTAACAAGGATACGAACGTCAAAGATTTTTCCGTGGACACACGCATACACACACAAATCTTTGGATTCGCGCCGGGGCCGTCATAAACGCCATCGATAGCTTTTTACCCTCTACTCGCGTATACAGCCTCTCTTTTAACTTCGACATAAATAAAACATCTTTTCCTACTGGTGAATTTCCTGCGAGGAAACTATGTCAGTCATAACATCGCGAAAACCGGCCCGTAAAAGTGCGCCGACGTAAATACCGAATTTTTCGCGAATTTATCGCACACACTAGGAATACCCTCGTCGCATAATGTTGCCCGGGGATTTTTACCATACGGGCATCGTAAAAGCTCTCGGCATGGAGGTCGACGAACTTGAACAAGCATATAATCGCAAGCTCACTCGCTGCTCGCTCAAATAATAAAAGCTTGGGTGTTTCTCTTGTGTTCGCTTAGGTGGTGATGTGCGGGGCGGTGCCGTCAACGGTGCCCTCCGTGAGTCTATACTCGACTTGCAGCAGAGGCAATGTTACCGTTATGAAACAGGTCAGATCTATGAAGCAGAACGACCACAATGCACCCTATCGTAAGTACATTTCGCCAAAATATGACTGACGTCCACGGTTCGATTATAACTGGATGCGCGCTGTCATTCACAATTTTCAAAGTGACCTCGCAGAAAGCAAACTTCACGCTATTCTACATAAGCATTCGAAAAAAAATCAATTGGTTCGGAAGTATCTGCACATTAGTCAGCTTAGTTGATGAATTATATAGCTGTAAAACGACTATCCGTGACATAAGATAGTTGCGCAAAAAACAGATATTATTACTAGTATTTAATGAGTCTGTTGCGGTGCGTCTGATATTCTGACAAATCGATTGGGCCACGTCAAAAATGAATTTGCATAAATATTAGCCTAGTGACGATAATGCACCTCGATTTCGAGAAACGACTGAATAAGCAAGCAATCACACACTGCCGTCGTCCGGAAATCGCAGTACGCACAGAAATTTCATAAACCATTTATCCCTCGCGTATGCATGCTTCAGCATATAAAGACGATTCGGTGAAATCTGCATTCGATAAGTGCCATATAAGAGCCCCCCGGTGCGCGCCGATCGCGTGTCCGTTGTCGACGCAGCGCGCCGCCTCTATTTTTCTCGTTCACGACGATCGTGGCGGCACTCTGTAGATATTTTCGTGTGCCGAGTTGTCTTCCTTTTTTCACGTTCCGACAAATTGATTTAATATTGTGCGCCGCGTGTAGGGAATTTCGTATACGGCGCCAAAACCTTGCCATTGATTATTTTTATCTCGATAAAACAAATTTCATCCCCCCATCCCTCGACACCTCAACCTAGAATGATCTTTGCTCGAGACTTAAGCTGCAGAATAAAGATGCATTACATAGTGTATACAAGCTTCACGTTTATTCTTGCGTCATTCAAGATAAACGCCATCGCGTGAATCGTTTTTGGAAGGGCGCGAGAACAAATAAATACGTTTCACAAAGGGCGGACGCGTGAAATGTGGATTGCGAAAGCAAGAGAGAGAGAGAGAGAGAGAGAGAGAGAGAGAGAGAGCTAAAACAGGTACTAATGATAGACTTGTTCTATAGTCTGCAACTATCATAATGAGAAATATATAGAAAAATCCTTTCACGCAAACATATAAAAAGCCCTTCATCATTCCTCCATCTAACGCACAGCCACACCTCTTTTGCCGCCGGCGTATTATTTTTATCGGCTAGCTGCAACAGCAGCAAAAGCGCAGACCCATAACACTAGAACGATATCGTTTTCGCTCCAGTTACCATTATGGAACTGCCCGAGTCACCGCGGCAACTTTTAAAACCCTTTTCTCTCTCTCGCCTACGGTCGTTAATTTGGCCGAGTTTTCGTATCTCTCGCAGTACTCGCTGGAGGAAAACAACGTAGTCGGGGATGGGCTTGATTTGGATGCCTGATTGATTAAAACTGGTTAGCGCTCGATTTTTCTGGCGACGGATGCGACAAACAAGTGTTTGTTAAGAAGAGCTACTGCTGGCTCAACTGATATTTAATAAATTGAAATTATTCAGTTTAATGTTCAAGCACGATGTTGATCGCGAATCTCACCGTAGAGCGCGGAAAAGAAGCGTGGAAAGAAATGTTACTGTCGCCCTCTCTAAAACGCTCCATAAACTGAAATGCGCAGGAGTGGTAGAGCAGTACACGCGCCAGGACACTCACGTTTGTTTATCCCGAAAGCACGCTTACGTTTAGCCGCGTGGCGTGTATAAGGTGCTCGCGAACAAGCAAGGAATGGAGGTGGATTATAGTCGCGCGCGCGTAGGCCGATTAATCGGAGGAACTTATCGTCGCTTGGGATCTCTTTGGCGGTTTCAACGGCGCGCGCGCGCAGATTAGAGGCTGGCAAATGAATTAAAAGGGCCGTTTTAATAAAAAAAAAATAAATAAAAAAGACTCGCGCTCTGTGTGTGCATGGCTGCTCGGCATCGATTACCCCCGCACGATAATAATACCGACGCCTCTCTCACTCACTTCTCATATATTACCTTTGCTTCGGATCTTCTCCCCTCCCCTCGACGGTTAATCGAATATTGGGAGCAGTAATGATCGTCGTTCGCAGAAGAACGCACCGAAAATAATATCGCTGCCTTACGCCCTCTATTTCTGCCGCGTCTAAGTGGCCAATTTCGGCTGGCTACGAGCGACCAAACTTGCGCCGTAGAACATCCGTCGGAATTTCCGGGTGACAACTGCGCCCGTCTTTTGTTGCGAAGGCACATTTTCGCAACGACTAATTGCGCGGAGTATCTCTGATCGCTGCTGCGCGCGATAAATCAATCTCATGGCTACCGAGAGAGAGAGAGAGAGAGAGAGACCGAGGGAGGGAAATTGGATGTTTTTGCTTAATCGTACGTGTGCTCGATATGTACTCTTTGATCTACCGATGCCACCCACGAGCTATGGGAAAGTTTGGTTGCCAAGCGTCATTTTCATGCATTGTGCGACTGAACATTTGTATTGACCCTGTTTAAAAGATCATTTTTATTTTTACAAATTGACTTGCCAGTCAATAGTCTAAGATTATAATGTCGATTTTTCGTAGAGTATATATCTCGAGAGCTTTATCTAAATAAATCATCTTGCGCATGAAATATTCATAGGGAAAATCAATTTGAAAATTAGCATAATAATATTATCTGTTGATATTTCAACGTCGTCGTCGATTTGTGCTCGAACATGTACAAGCGCGCAAAATAGAGTAAACGCGCGTCTAAAGTCAATCAATTAATCGTGCGCGCATAGCCCCTTTTCCATAGCTTTTTGCGATCGCAATCGATAATGCAGAGCTCGCCAGCCTGCGATAAATTCAATTAGTTATTAATGGGCTCTACCATTAACTCTCCTGTCCCGTTACTCTCTCTCTCTCTCTACCTCTTTGCCAGTATAATGATATCTTGGCGCGCGCGGGAGTATAAAGAGCTAATTGATGCACTTTCGGTTTTTCGACATTCACAGATTAAAGCTCGCGTGGAGAGAGAGAAAGAGAGAGAGAGAGAGAGAGAGAGAGAGAGAGAGAGAGATTTTTATCTCGGTCTCGAAGTGCGCGTGCGCAATGTCTAAATTTCTTCCTTTTCTCGTGGGCATTCAAAAGCCGTTCGTGTTTATTGAGAATCAGATACGAGGACAAATCGCTTAGGATCAACGGTTCTCACGAAAACGATCGCTCTATAACTCATCTCTCTCACTTTTACGAATGTCTGTATTAATATGGAAAAAAATTGAGTTCTCCGACAATGTTAACTCTCTCTCTCCCTTTCTCGTGTGTGTATCTCTCTTTGATAGAGCCGGTCTTTTTTTCTTTGCGGAGGGACTTTTTTGTTGGGAGAGTTTAACGAGCTTCCACGATGACCGTCCTGCTGTCTTCGAAGATCCCTCGCGGGTTCCCATTCTGATGCCTTCTACTTTTAATCGGATGCACGAAATGTACCAGAAATTAACACTAGATTTTGGAAAAGATTTTCACAACGCTAAGCTTACTGTTTTCTTTCTTTCTTTTTCTTTAAGCAAATAAACAAATTTAACTCGCAACGATGCAAAGACTCGTACGCTGCTTCCACAAGCACTCGCACATAGAAAAGGAGTGCCAACATCTCTGGAGACAGTAACGATTCTTACGTAACTCATGGTATTCATCTTTAGCTGAAAAGGTTTCCATGCAGTATTCGCGAAATGTTTCACTCGCGCAAAACTGATCTGCAATCCTCGTGCACGTGGATTTCGTAATTCTCGTGATAAAAAAGTCCAGTATACGTATGTAGTCTACGAAAAAAAATGAATGCCCCCTTCCGCGCGTACTGAGTGGCTAAGTACATAGACCTATAGAATCCAGCGAGCGTGAGTTTCTTTGCGTGTCCCCTTCATTAACACCGCAGCTGTATAGGCAAAAGTGAGCGCCGTGAAAAGCCCCGTCGAAAGACTAGTTCTCGGAAAGCCAATGCCGTGAGTCTCTCGATGTTTCTCTCTGTCTATCTCTCTCTCCCTCTCTCTACTTCTATTTTTTGGAGAGAGAGAAAGAGAGAGAGAGAGAGAGAGTGACTAGAATTCTTCGTCGATTCTAGGAAACGAAAATCGAAGTCAGAATATCGGATGCTACATGGGGTGTAGGATAATTTTTTCGAAGATAGTTTGTAAAACTCGCGATTATATGTTCATATGTTTCAGAACTACTAACAACAATAACAGAAAATATTCTTATGAAAATGTTCATTTACGCGGAAGAGGTCGACAAATACATCTGCTTCAATAAACGATGGAAAATTGTCGTAAGTATCTAAGTATAAAGTTGAACTTGCTGACGGCCGAAGATTCGAAGCTCATGCAAAGAAGCAAATAAAAAATGAAAATATTGGGCGATTTTTTATTGCAGGCAAAAAAGAACAAGGACGAGATGTGCCAGTTCCACGAGGTGTACAGCGGCAGGTACCTAAGGTACCGCTCGGCAGTTGATCCGACGCGCTTCCTCGGCTTCAATAAACTCGGCAAGGCGATAGCCAAACCACGCGGCAGTACCAAATGTTATAACTTCCTGAAAATCAATCCGAACGGCGGCGTCGCACAACACAACCGCTTAATCACGCAGCAGCAGCAGCAGCAGCAGCAGCAGCATCATCATCAGCCATCACTAGCGAATAATAAGCCATTGCAATTGCCAGCCGCGGCTCACCGGAAGTCACTGCAACGGAGCAGCAATTCCTTGGTGCATCATCAAGAGAGGACGCGTCATCGACACGGCTGGAGGAGACGACAGCATCTCCGACAGCAGCAGCAATTGCAGCAACAGCAGCAGCAGCAGCAGCAGCAGCAGCACGCGATGCGTCCTTATCAGGAAAGCAAGTATTGAGCCGGCGCTAGGCGGCTCGCCGATCAAGACTGCCTCATCCACGAGACGACTAAGAGTGAGCTCGTGATTTCTTCGCACTTCCTCGCGCTCATCGTCCTCGTTATTGTCCGCTGACTCCGAGCAGCTCACACGACTACTCCCCCACACCCCTCCCACTACTTTACTCGCCCCTTTAAAGACGCTCGCGCTCGATCGAACTTGGTATTCTCGAAGGTCATTCATTTGCAGTCTTTCTCGTTATGTCACGAAAAAAATTACTTAATTGACTAACAATCATGACAATCCGACGAAACATAATTTCCTCCTGGATGTTTTTTGGAGAGAGAGAGAGAGAGTGAGAGAGAGAGAGAGAGAGAGAGAGAGAGATTGCCAAGCGACATTGAGCGCCACGCGAACAGACAGTTGTTGATGGACCAGTCTGCTCGGATTATTGCCCACCACTTTATTACGTTCATTTTTATTGGAACTTACACACGCGTACGCTATCGAACATACACATACGTACACACAAATACACAACTGCTGTTGTATGATTACGTTCCAACGAGCGCGCCGTATTTATTGTAAGCATTTATTTATGATATTTCGTATTTGAAAAACCGTAAGTGTCGTCGTTTGTTTGCAAAATAAAAACGTGAAACACGAATGCTAGAGAGAGTGTGTGCGTGAGCGAGAGAGAAAGAACACACAACATAACACACTGCTAAAAACAAATCGTTAACCTCGACAGCAATAAGATTTAAACATGTTCTCAACGATAGAGAACCCGAAATAAAAAACAGAAAGAAAGCGAAGAGGAAAATGGAAAAGAAGAAGAAAAAGGAAATCTTCTGTGGCGTCCTTATAGGTCCGTAAATGCGGTGCGTGCATCTGCATCTAGATGGCGTCCTACCGGCGGTACCTATAACCGGCTGAATTAGTGTTCGGTTCTACGTGAATGAAGTATAGATAAGTTATTTTTACTGTATTGTGAAAATCGCTGATTTATATACTTCATTCCACACATAACCAAGTGCTAATCCAACCGCTATTAGCATTCTAGGGATAACATTATTATATATACTTTTTTTTCTTTATTATTTTCCTTGAAAATATAAGAATACATTATTCTCGAGGAGAATACTAATGAAAAAGGAATAACTACGTATAATAAGGTAATCCTTATATGATGTTAATAGCAGACTGTATTACTAGGTTAGATACACACATAAATACATACACATACACATTTACACACGATATGACGCGGTGATGGCGCGAGATTTGAAAGCGCAGATAATAGGTACCCATATACGATCCTCTTAAAAAAGCTGCACAAAGACGAGCTTGCGTTTTTCTGCGGCTTTGTTTTGCTCACGGGGTTTCAGGTGTTCGCAATCCCCTCGGATAATTATCATTGACCAGTACCTCACTCGATGAAATTACTTTTAAACTAGTACGACAGACTCGAAGCAAAAAAAAAAAAAAAAAGAAAGAAAATAGTGAGAACGAAAGAAGAACAATAGGCCAGCCAGTGATAATCCGTGGAAGCCGTATAAGGGAGTTTCTGAATCTCGCAAGATCACCACCCAAGGAGCGCCTACCCCTCTGACTAGAGGAAAAAGTAAAATGCGGATGACGAGAAATCAATGAAAGATGTAGCTTATTTATTAAAAAAAATATATTATATATATAATGCGAGCAGTCCGACATCCTTTCTTTTCCTTGTACGTACAATATTACAAGAGAAACAAGAAATATATAGAATTGCGATGTGAAGAAGAGAAAAAAACAAAATATACCTGTGTTCTGCTCTCTGTCCTTTTAATAATTTCTTTCTCTCTCCCACCACAGTCAGTATACGCCAGTCAGTTATCATTTGTACATTGTTGTTATATTGTTGCCATTTATACTCCGACATTTATCACTGACGTAATTATAAGGCATTCAAAGCACGATTGAGAGTTGAGATTTTTTTTAAATTCCATCAATGTATGCTAGATCTGTTAGTAATTTCAGACAAAAAATTGCATGTCTTGAAGTCTGATCGTTAATGGAGTCGTAAAAACTAATCCAAATTTTGTACTCTCTGTGTAAGCTTTAGGAAAACAATCGTATGAGATCTTGCTCGTGCTTCGGGTGTGCGCATAATCACAACAAATGAACGTTTCTTTCTTATTTTTATATGAAGTTGATTTTTATTTCTTTGCACGAAGCTTCCGAACATGTAAGCCGGTGGCCTACGCGCACAAATCAAATACTACATCAAAATAATAGAAAAGAGAAAAAGAACAAAAACATAAAACGACCGATAATTGTACTGCTAATGTCAGAAAATAATGAATTTTTATAAAAAAATAAATAAAGCAAACCTTATAGCTTTGTAAGATCAATCCTAGTTGTTTTATCTTCCAGAAATCCTTAGTTCAGACGTATTCTTTTTAGCAAATTTTAGAGTATATATCCATTTAACATTTTTTTGAATAAATAAATAAGCGATTATTATTCTCAAATACATCTCTAAACTTTTGGAAATAAAATGTTTCTAACGCAACTACACGTTCCTATAAATTAGTTTTTATTCACGAGTTAGTTGTATTCTTTGATCTCCAAAAGTTTAATGCTCATCATAACCTTTCATCTTGAAAGAATTATGTATTTGATAATACTCAAATTGATGACGATTTTAATTTAACTTTCAACGCTCATTTCCGACGGAAACGATGCGCGCCATACACCGGAAAGTGAATTCTTATAAATAAAATTGAATTCTTATAAATAATAAAACATAGAACAACTCATGTTTCCATCGATGCATGCTTAAAAGTTGCAATATTCTTATAACTGATATACACGCGCATCCTAAGTTTTGAAAAAAAAAATGAAAACTCGAAATTTTGCTGAGATATTGTATTTTTTGAAGCAGAAAAAAAATAAAAGTATATTTTAACATGTAGGATCAAAAGAAACATGAATAATACGAATATCGAACTCAAAGATAACGCTAAACAACAAAACAAAGAAAAGAAAACACGAGGAAAGAAGGGTTGAACTGTACGGAGCGAATGTGTAAGAACGACGCTTATAATTTATTAACAAAAAAAAGGAAAAAGATTAACTACTAATATAACTTGTAATGTAATTATATTGTAATACGGTATTGTAAACGCCACCTCGTAGATGATTAATCTATCTCGTTTGTTTTTTTTGTATGTGTATTAAGAATAATCTCTTGTCAGCGCTCGCATTTCGACTACAGGAATTTCCGGCTGCTCGGTGAACACTGATGTATTAAGAGTGAAAGAGAAATGGTGGCGTCTCGAGGTGGATTAATAAAAAAGAATTTAAAGACAAAAAGCGCCAAGTATGAAGGACCCATCGGTAAGCTCGGAGGCAAGTCATCGAAAGTCGAGAGCGCGTCGAGAGTGAGAGAGAGAGAGAGAGAGAGAGAGTATAAGTGCGAGAGAGAGAGAGAGAGAGGAAGAGTGCGTATATGTAAGAACGAAAGAGAGCTAAAAAAGTGTGTAACCAAAATGAGACTTGTATTTTTACAAATATTCAAAGGAATAAAGAAATGTGTACAAATTAAAGAAACTTTAACAAGCAAAACATGAGATGATCAACTCGTTTCGTATACCTTGATAATCTCTTCTTTTATGAACATTGGAATTTATATTTAATGCAAGCAATTGAAAAGCGGAGAGGATGATTTGGATAGAACTTGGCATTTTGCGACACATTTTTCACGATACATTTTTTGGAGAGGATTAAAATTGACAAAAAATAATAATAATAATCAAGGAGATTGGAATTACGAGTGGATATAAATTGACATGCAATGAATCCGACTACTTTAGATAGATAGTAATAACTTAAATAACGAAGAAAAAACTGAAATAATAAGAAACAAAAAGGTAAAATATAAATATTATATATAAATAAGTATATATGAACAGATGATGTGTATTGTAAGATATTTAATACTGACTTGTTAGAGAGACTTGATAACGATGATAATAACGATTATGAGGATGCTGAGTGAGGAAAGTTGATAAAAATATTGGACGATGGTGTGCGAGAGACGACGTCACGATTATTGTAACGTGGACAGATGACAAACGAAAAAAATAATAAGGCACAAGAGGAGATGATAAGGCGACGTGGTGAGAGAAAGAGCATTTGTAAGGAGATACACCTACATTATTCGCGCTGTAATATAGAGGCATACATACTCCATTACCCACTGAATCGATGTGTCGATGTACCCGGGCGTGCTCTGATCGTGTTTACAAAAATTTAAAGGGGTGAACTCAATTCGGTTCAGATGCTTTGATCACACACACCAAACTTTTTATCTGCAGTTCAACTAAAGAATATAAACTACATTTTTTCACACTCGTCGTAGTTCGCGAAGTAATATTTAGCAAGGGAAAATGCCGGAACGAGTGTGAGAAAATCTATTATGGCCGAGTTTTTTCAAATTTTTTCAGCCAACAAGTTATTTATTTTAATAAGCGTGTCTGCTAATTTATCGATGAAAAAATGTTTGTATAAATTGATCTTTTTTATTAAGGAATTCGTGTTTAAGAATATAAGCTTTAGAGATTAGTTTGCTAAAAATCTATGAAAAAATTAAGAAGAATAAGAACAATCCGCACGCAGCACGTATACAATTGAACGAGGTGCACGTGCTGTTAAACACGACTGAATCGTATTTGTTAAATTTAAGTTGTATATTTAATTAAGGCTCTTTGATAAAAATCTTAGCAGTGGTGAACGAGAAAGAGACTTAAAAGATTTGAGAAAACCATAAAAATCGTGATCGAGGCCAATTTGAAAAACGTTGATTATTTTGCAAAAAAGTGTGTTTTCGACGCGAGGTGGAAGAAAAATGTAAAAAAAAATAGCATGAAGAAACGAACACGGCTCGCCCGGTCGCAGCTAGCAATAATAGCATTCCAACGCAAATCGCAAAGTACATACCTGCGAGTTCTTTAAACTACTGTGTGCCGCCGTACCGACGGAGAGAAAAAAAAACACTGTCAAATACACGCTCATACACTGCTAAAAAAAACGACTCTGTGTGTTCTTTATTGCCTCTACGCATTACAATAACCCAAATACATGCCAAACCCGCTCTCGGATCCTAATTTTTCGTTTCCCTTATCCTCCAGACAAATACACTTTTTACATGACATATTTTTTCAACGAATCAGATTTACTTTACGCAGAAATTATTTTCGTTAAATAGATATTTAGCGTAACTTACATGAATTAGATTTCTCCTACATGAAAAACAAATTATATCAAATTAACGTTCACGTTGCAAAATCTTACAGATATTCTAAAAACAAATTGAATTAAAAAAATTTTTTCCCTTTCAATCAGTAGATTAAAGGTGACGATATCTTTTTTATAGTTTTCAATAAAAATGTTCATTGTACTATTTAAAATTCAAATCAATTTTATAATTTCCATTTACAGAAAAATTCGAAGTAGTTATTATAAATTAACCAAATCAGATAAGTGACGAACAAACTATTCGCATGTGAAGATAATATCAGAAATAATAAATAAAAATTCGTTGATGGTACTTTAAAAGTCTCGGAATAACTACACAAAAAGAAAAAGAAAGGATCAAAGCAAAAAGAAATCTAACCATATCTCACGTGATTTCGATCAAATCGATTCACAACGAAACTCTGCGAGTATAAGCGCTCCTTTTTTCGTCGAGAGCCAAAGTATATACGCACAACGGGCTAAAGCCCAACTACGTCAAGGCAAAATCAAACATCTTTTCAAACATCGTCGTAGTCGTCATGACCCTTCTCTCTTTCTCTCTTTCTCTCTCTCTCTCTCTCTCTCTCTCTCACTCTCTCTCTCTCTCTCTCCCTCTCTCTTTCTCTCTCTTGCAAGTACGCGTCAACGCGCTATTTGCCCTGCCGCTACGATCAAGAGAGCGAACGTACAGCAAGGGTGAGTACTTTGACTGTTCAAGAACTGATTATCATACGACCAAGCAGTCTCGTAAAAGGAAAATGCTCAGATTTATCGGCGTTTGAACGACTACTATGACCCTTTTATTCTTTTCGCACGCTTACTTATGTATAAATGCATTCCAAGATTTAGATCTTTAGAATTATTAAATTATTCGAAGAATACCAGCATTTTTTCTCATGTTTAAAAAAACTAGTTATTTTCGTATTAAAATTTTACAGTTCATTGTAAAATGTTTTAACTAATAATAAAAATTATAATCAGGGTTCAATGAGCTACCTTCGATGTTATTGAGTTAGTTAAATGAGAAATTTCTAATCCGAATACATAAATAGAAAATATAGTACACAAGTCTCGTCGGCGACTACAATTCTACGTTATATATCTTCGTAACAATTATCACCTGGGAAAAATCCTGTATTTCAGCAATATTTAGTAGAACATCACCAGAATAAAGCTTTTATTATTCCGTGAATAAAGTTCGTCAAGCTGCTGATAAAAAGGCTAGTAGAAGCGAAGAAGATGTCAGCGAGGAAGAGAAATAAAATGGAGGATTTTAGGAAAAACTCGAGCCACTTTAGCTGTCTATGAAGGGTTCTTTCTCCCCGAAATATTTCCCTTCTCCTTTCGCGTGCGCGCAACCCTCGACTGACTGAGCGACTTCATTCATACATCACCATCGTCTGTATGTATATACATATCGACTTCCTTCCCTTTGATCGGTCTTCTCTCCCCTTTCTTTTCTCCTGTGAAATAATACTCTTATCTCCGGTGAATCTCGATTCTTTTTAAAGTTCGTTTCGCGCAAGCCTTTTTGCTTTTTTTCTCTTGGCGGAAGGATTACCATCGAATATATATACGTGACTTCCTATATAGTCCTCGCTCAACATCTCGTTTTTTTACTTCCAGGAATAAGTACCTCTATTGGAGTGGCGTACATATGAAATGTTTGTGCCCGAATTCATAACGGGTCTACTTTGGTTTGAAAGGAGCGTGTGAAAAATCAAGAAGTCGATGGCGATTTTGTAGTGTGTACTCTGAAACGTTTATATAACTTAATTAAGACTAATTGGATAGTAATTTGTTAAGGGATTATTTCTTGTATTATCATAGTGTATTATGCAAAAATTATAACGTCTATTTGGACAGAGTAATATCTTTACGTAAAGATTTTTTTGTGACATGGGTTTTTATTTAATTTATTACAGTTTAATTTGATTTTGATGTTGAAAATTGTAAAAAATATTTTAGGCAAGATAAATAAATAATTATGAAATGAGTCATCCATCCTTTTGTCTTAACACTCCAGAAATAAATAGTGGGACGAATGTTGTTTTGAAGCCAAGTCAGATTTGTTCAATAAATTCAATCGCGAAAAACCACAAGAATTCAATGAATTTCAAAAAAATCTGAATTTCTTACTCAATCGATCATACGCAACCCGATTAACTCGATACTTCACTAACTGCAATAAAAAATGGCTTGTTTCGTCTAGACTGATCGAAGATATGCATGACATGCCGTGCGATATATGAGAGTCACAAACAAGAGCACAACCCCTTTACGTTGCTCTAACACGATTAACATTCAACTGGTCGCACCTGTCGAATGATAAGTCGTCCTACGATAAGATACGCTAATTGAGCAATCTTAATTGGTCCTCCCCTGAGAGCGTGTCCTCGATGCCGTGACAGATGCGTTCATTCCCGCTGTGGGCGTTTGTTGGGCTACTTTCAGAAATGAGCTTTGAGTTCCGCTGAAAACTCTATAGGCAAATGCTCGTGCCATTGTTATTGCTCGAAAAGGCGGAGCATAATCAGTCACCTTCACCGCATTTACCGAATTCCCTTTGAGGTTTCACCGCTTTTGCAGAATTTTTCGCGCTCAACTGAAGCAATTAATGATCTTGCGAGTGAAAGCTAACGCGTGATTAATGGTTTTTTCATACTTTAGAGGTACTTGAATTTTTCGAGTGCTGCGACCGAGTCGATACTCATCATGATTGATTATCTGCGAATAGCTTCATCGCTTTTTCATGGGAGCTACTCTGCCACGGCTAAGTGCGGAGGGAAAAAAAAAGAAAAGAATCGACGTGTTGACGGGTAACTGTGAAAATTAACGATTGGTATCGACCAGGATGATCTCATATTTTCCACGTGTATACAAGTATTCAGACGAGAATTTTATACAAGGTGAAATTATGCGTTACAGATTATTATCCGATAGAACGTGGTTTTTTTCGATGTTTGCACAAGCTATTTTTAGCCTTATTTTTACATGCTAAATACGTCCGCATTACATGATTTATTGATTTTTTTCAATTAATTATAAGCTTCTGATTTCTATATATAATTATTGATGGTTTTTAATTTAAAAAAATCTTTCTTTTTCAATGATTCTGATACTGTGATAGTTTTAATGAAAATATTAGAGTAAATTGAAATAATATGTATTAATTTATATGAAAATATAGTTTACTTAGAAAATAATAATTCATGATGGAATTTGAATTAAGAAAGTCTTAAGCAATCTCAAATAAATTTAATAAATTGAATCATGGAAAAATACTTGATCAATCATAATTAGCACATTACTACGCATAAGTAACATTGCTTGTTGACAAAAAAATAATGCGGCATACTTCTAAGCTCAATTTTCAAAGCTTGAGAATTTAGTTTTAATACTGTGCGAGTTCATCGAAATGCAATCCCGCCCACCGCAAGTCCTCAGAATGACGACAAATGAGGGTGTACCGCGATCTTTAGAAAGCATTCCACGCGAATCTGTAGCAGCGTCAGTTTGGAAAAATGACTCTCTCACAATTTTTTTATTGTCACTTCCTCCTAAAACGACCGCAGATAAATATCCATCTTTTCACTCTCTCTCCATTGCATTGCGCACCAGCTTGCTTATACGCACCTTCGGCTACTGTGCCAAGAAAGTCTTTCACGCGCCGACACAAAAGGTTCCGCCGTAAATAAATTCTCCGTAATTGTGGTGCAATGGTGCCGGCTGGGCCACGCGCCGGACACACCTTCAGAAGAAAATTGGGGAAATGTCCCTGCAGACGTGCGTCCAGCTGTGCTTTACCTTTCTTTTATTTTTTTTTTCGTCGTCTTTGCGAAACAGAAAGAAGAGAATGCCTTTCTCGGGACGGCTGTCGTAATGCCGGATGCAATCCTCGCGCGCGCGCTCGCAAGCATTGGCTTTCTGATTTTCATGGTTTTAATGTAACAAGGACTAGTTATGCACGCTTGGTTCTTGCTTTTTTGTTCCCGTTAATTGCAAGTGTGGGTTGTTTAAGGCAAAATAAAGAGGATAGGAAGGTCAGTCTATGGATTTTTAGGGAAAGAGATTTGACGCGTGAGAAACTTTTCCGGAATTGAAAGAAACAGAGGCGACGATCCCAGGCTCGTCTAAGTGATCCAAGAAATGCTGAAAATGTCGCGTATGCCATAATTAAATTATACCAGTTGTAGCATATTCTTGAATCATTGACTATCATTGCTAATTTAAAATAATTTATTTTGTAATCTTGTGACTCAATCGGACAAAATTAGATTTGAAACTTTAGCAGAAGCGACGACGACCAAAAAATAAAGAGGGGGTTCAGTAAATTACAAATGTTCTCATGCCGAAAGATCGCGATGCAGAGGAGAACAAAACCAGGAAATGGAGGTTATAAGCACGTCCAGTTATCTTGGAAGCGCATGTCTACTTATAAAAAGTTTCCTGGAGGCCCAAACTGAATTTCCTTCTTTAAAAAAACTGACCGCACTGCCGCTACACACGTACAGCTCTTAATTGGGCTAACTTTAGTAATGGCCTCGCTTCTTTTTTTGAACGATAATCGCTACTATCGACGGAGAGGCCCACCGGATGCGTGCTATCGAGACTACGGCAAGTATTGGTATGTACTCGTATATAGCGTCAAGTCACCAGACCTGCTTTCAAAGATGTGGTAGATTGATAAAGATAGCTGCGAGCTCCTAATTCTCTAGCGCGAGGACATTTAAGATTTTATAATTAGTGGAATGATCGCATTAGCTCATTCTTTATCATACTTACATAGAATATTAACAACTGAATCCGGTTAAAATTGCCGTTACATCATATGCGGAAAACAAAAACTTAAAG